GCTGAGCGCGTTGTGCGCCAGCTGCAGCCAGCGCGCGCGCAGCAGCCCCTGGAAGGCCATGGCCGGCAGGTAGACCAGCGCGTTGTGCGCCAGGTTCAGCGTGGCCAGCGCGCCCAGCGCCCCGAAGGCGCCCGGCCGCAGCTCCTCCAGCGCGTTCCGCTCCAGCTCCAGGCGCCGCAGCGAGCCCAGCCCGTCCAGCGCCTCCTGGGGCAGCTCGCGCAGGCGGTTGGACGCCAGGTTGAGCAGCAGCAGGCGGCCCAGGCCCCGGAAGGCGCCCTCGGCCACCTGCTCCACCTGGCAGTGCCGCAGGTCCAGGTGTGTGAGGTGCGGCAGGTCCCGGAAGGCGGCCGGGGGGATCACCCTCAGCGCGTTGCCCTGCAGGTCCAGCCTCTGGGTGAGCTGCACGAAGGGAAGGCGCGGCTGAGTAGCCTGGGGCCTGTCCCTTGCCTGGAACTGGCCCCCTCTTCCCGAGGCCTCCTCCCTGAAGCTTCCCACCCACACACCTTTGAGCATCCACCCCCCCCCGCCCCCAGGTGGCACTTGTCACGTTGTCTTGTCACTACCTCCTTACTCTCTGCCTCTGCCTCCTAACTCCACAGGGCAAAGACAGCATCCTAACCTGCTACACCCGTTCTCTGCAAAAGGATCTGTACTAAAATATTCTGAGTTTTTTTGTTTTTTGAGACAGGGTCTCGCTATGCAGTTCAGGCTGGCCCTGAACTTACTATGTAGCCCAGACTGGCTTCAAACTCCCAGAGATCCTCCTGCCTCAGTCTCCCGAGTGCTGGGATTACAAGCTAAAACTAGTATTCATCTGTAGGTCACCTATGTATTGCAGTCACACAACAGGATTTTTTGTGTGTGTGTGAGACAGGGTCTTGCTGTGTAGTTCAGGCTACTCCTGAACTAACTATATAGCCCAGGCTGGCCTCGAACTTTCAGCAGTCTTCCTGCCTCAGCCTCCCAAGTGCTGGGATTATAGGCATGCACTACATGCTGGGCTAGGATTTTTTTGTGTGTGTGATGCAAAGTCTCAATCTAATGATAATCCTCCTGCCTCAGCCTCCCAAGTGCACTGCCATGCCCAGCCCTGTGATTAAGTTTTATCCTGCCCATTTTACAGATGTGAAGACTGAGCTCAGAGGGAAGTAACTTGCCAGGTTTGCCTTGCCAAGCAGTGACATATCCACTGCCAAGCCAAGAGTCCTCCTGCAGTCCCCCCACTGCCACCCCATGCCCATGTTCCTGCCCCACTGACCTCTGGGATGGTGCTGGGCACCTCAGTGAGGTTCTGGTACCGGCAGGAAACGTGCCGCCTGGCATTGTCACAGATGCAGGGCTGTGGGCAGCGCTGGGCAGCTGTGTGCCAAGCTGGGCCCAGCGGCAGCAGCAGCAGCAGCACCAAGGGGATGCGGGTGGAGCTCTGGGCCCTGGAGAGGGAGGAAGAATTGGCTGCCCAGGCCCCACCTTTGAGCCCATGACAGTGGCACTGGGCTGAGCCCGTTCCCCCCTCCCATACCCTGGCACCTCTATTACCAGGCATTTCACACGGGAGGAATCTGAGGCTCACAAGTCAACCCAGCAAGTCCCTTTTTGGCTTTTGTACTGGGGATTGAACCCTAGGCCTTTACACTGAGCTACAGTCCTAGGCTTTTTTAGATTTTTATTTTGAGATGGGGTCTCAAGCTGTGCGTGGTGATGCACACCTGTAATCCCAGGGCTCGGGAGGCTGAGGCAGGAGGATTGTTGCGAGTTCGAGATCAGCCTGGGCTACAAAGTGAGTTCAAGACCAGCGTGAACTGCACAGGGAGACCCTATCTCAAAAAAA